GCAAATAAAGTCTAAGTATCGATAATTTATGCATACTCGCTCTAAACAAATATGCCAATATTTCTGTGTAGAAATACATTTTTTACTGCATTATTAAATTGTAAACTGCCCATAAAGTGCTTTAAGCACTACTGGGCAGTATATAAGCAGCACACTTTGCTTTTCTGACCATATTTTGGTCAGACATTAAGATGGCATGCAGTTATTTACGTATAATTCTGAGTGCCTGGCCTAGCCATGTCTATCTTTGTAATGGTTTTTATTATTTATGCTGTGTTATATATGTTTACTTTTATTATTCTTTGTTTGTTAGCCGCCTAGAGTGGTCCTGAGTTGACTAGAGAGGCGGGATATAAATTAAATAAATAAATAAATAAATAATAAAATAAATATCTCAGAGTGTTGCAGTAAATCTCACGTTATTTAAATCCCATAAATGTTAGAAACATTTTGATATAAAGAATGGTACATCTTCAAGGGTTAAGCTGGTTGAAAAATATCTTCATAATACTGTAAATATCACCCAGAGATTTTGAGGAACATTTGGAATTTTATGAATTGCACATTATCACCGATTCTAAAATAATATCCACTTCAATCCAACTATTTCAGGACAGAATTCAGCATTCTGTCTCAATAATAATTTTGAGCCATAAAATAGAAATTGTAGCAACCATTTGTTTTAGACTGCTAAAGGAAGTACTGTACTGCTTACCATATTTTTGCTGCTAACCAAGACTGCTAGCCAAGACTTAAGAACTTCCAGAGTGCTGTCTTGGCAATATTAGTTGCAATGTCAAATCTGGGTGGCACTTTACATTTTCACTATTGCTCTGAGCTAAAGTTTGCTTCTGAAATGTCAGTTGTTCCATCTGTTCTACTGAAACACATAGTTCATCACCCTCTTCCTATTTTTTATATATATTTTTATAAGTGCTTTCATTCCCCATCCTGTTAAAGAAAAAACCAAGCTTTTCAAATGTATATGCATGGTCACTTGTCTTTGAAATACCTATTTTATTTATGCTTAATCTCTTTGTTCTTCCTTCTAAATTCATTATCATTATCATTATCATTATTTATTTATTTATTTATTTATTTAACTTATATGCTGCCCACACTACCTGAAGGTCTCTGGGCGGCTTACAGCATTTAAAATACAATAAAAAGTCAAAATAAAAGGGCAAAATAATTAAAATGCAATTAAAATATATATTCTAAAAATTGCCATCAGACCTACAGCTGATATTATTTCAGTTAAAAAGCCATTTGGAACAGGAAGGTTTTGACCTGGCGCCGAAATGTCATCAGCGTCGGAGCCAGACGAATCTCAGTCGGGAGGGCATTCCATAGTCTGGGGGCAGCTGCCGAAAAGGCCCTTTCTCTGCAAGCCCTCCCTCTTATCTCCTTAAGGGATGGCTCTTTCAAAAGGGCCCCCTGGTTAGATCTTAACTGTCGGGTAGGTTCATATGGAAGGAGGCAGTCCTTGAGGTATCCAGGGCCCAAGCCGTTTAGGGCTTTAAATTTTCAGTGATAAGGTAATATTGAGTCCCCATTAGGCAATTCTACATATTAAACAACTATTAAGTTCTGGACCTTCAGCTAGATATGGATCTTTCAGATTTTTTAACAGCATAGTTACAAAACTACAATTTGTGTTTCTAAGGCTGAGGAGGGGTTAAATTTTGGTTTCCTCAGTTTAGGGTTTAGGGCAGAAAAAGGTGCAAAACACCTTTTTGGTTTTTATTTCCTGGAGCTGGTTGGGGACCTTGGTAACCAAATCCTCCCAAGCAGCTGGCTAGATCAGTGTGTGTCGGGAGGTTCATTCTGACTGCAGGCAGCCAATTGTTGTTGTTGTTTTTTTTTTTGGGGGGGAAATACATGTCAAGAAAACCTTGGAACATCAGGGTTCCTCCCAAATCCGTAACATCAGAAAAAGGTCAACCAATTGGATGATGATTGTGACAAATGTTGTTGTTAAAATATTTATAGCCGGTTGAAGATAGGCATAGTTTATCCAGAATCAGAGTAGGGTTGTTTCTGACAGCTGCTCATTCTCCAATTCATACCTGTGTCTGAGCTTGTTTTTCTCTTGCTGAGATGGTCTTTTCACTCTGAAGTGACAAATGATGCATTGGTCGGTGTGCAGTATCAGGAATACAGCTTTGCACTGAGGTGCTGCCTGTTGCCTTAGTTGTTCAAGGTTACTGCAATAAGTGAGCATTAGCCCTCATGCCCTAAATTAAATTCAGTAGAATAATTGCATTTTACCACGGATTAAAAAAGAACTACTGTAGTATATATTCTTATCTGTTGCATAGCATTGGTTTCTGCAAGCAGAGATGGATAAAATGGGCAACTAAATGCACTCTGACGGCTGTAATTGGCTTATATAGTTTGAGCTCTTTGATTCTTCTCTGAAAAGAACTTTATCTCTTTTTCTAATGTCTCTATGACTGTCTTCCAGTCTTTTCTCCAAATGAGAATGATACTTCGGAGAAGTCTTTTTTTCCTCGTTTTGTCACAGTTGTTTTAAGATCCAACTGTGAGATGCTCACTTTGGATTCAGCTCATTACAGAACATACCCAAAATGATGTTAGAAAATGCACCACTTTTCTGTAATCTTTATTATTGTGAATTACTTTACTTTCTTTGGGGCTGACAATGTCGTCTTTTCTCTTTAGCACTTGCCGCTTCAGAATCTTACATTTGCTGTTCCTTAACAAAAGTTATATTTTGTAAATCTAATTTTCTACTGGGTTTATGATTCCAGAAGATGAGAGGAGACACACACTCTGTGTTTTCTGGTCTAGGCTTTACATGTCATATAATATTTGTAGAAGTTTGTAGAAGTAGAATTTGAAGAGAGAATTTAAAAAGTGAAAAATGTGGAAGCAGCTACATCCATTCGGCTGTTGGGATTAATTGACTCAGGAATTTTATCACTGTTTAGTGTTTCAGTTTATAGTACTCATATGAAGTCTAGGTTAAATTCTACTCACTAAACATAAAATGAAAATTTTAGTGGCTGAAGTCCTGTTAACATGGGTGCACATTGTGGAAAGATGACAGTGTCATCAGTCACAGCCCTCTAGTCCTTTTCCTTGAACAGTGCATGTCCAGGTCTAACATTCAGTATACTGTAGATGCTTTCTGTTTCAAAATACTATGGATCTCATTATGATTAATTTAGTCAGACATTGACTTCCTTTCATTCTTCCTTTCATTCTTAACATAACACAAAAGAAACAAATTCTAGTTTTCAAAGACTTAGAAGTATCTTGGAAATCTTTGTCTTAAATCCAGTTGTTAGTCCAATTAGACCAAACTCAGAGAATTTAAGGAATTGTTGACTTGCAATTTAGCTAATCCAGTCAGGACTAGCAGTCAATTTTCAACCAATGAGACAACTTCTATTTTTCCAGGTGCACTTGAATGAACAGAAAATTGTGTCTTTTCCCTCTGGTTGGTGAGCAGGAGCTAGTAAAAAGATTGCAACTTCTGCCAGTCATCATGGGTAGAGATGAGGGCATTATATCCCTGCACAGGTGGACATACCAAGGGTCCGGCCCCATGGGATTGGACTGTCCACTCACGATTTCGCCACTGCCGAGATTTCGCCGCTGCTGCCAGCTCCGCAGAAGCTTCCTATCGCACTGTTCTCCACAACGGATTAGCCACTCTCTGACCTAGCAGAGCTTCCTATTGCACTGTTCTCCGCAACGGATTAGCCACTCTCTGACCTAGCAGAGAGGCTTGTCATCCTGCCTCCTGCCAGGACTGGGTAATTGATTGCGGATAAGGATGCGGCACCTGTGCAGGGATGTTTGTATACAAATACCCCCATCTCTAATCATGACCTTTTTAAAAGCTTTCAAATGCAGTACACTTCTGGATTTGTTTTTATCTTGTCCCCTTTAGTTCTAGGTGTTTTTATATGAATTTAAATTGGTGGATTTCATAGAATGTAGTTACTGTATTTAATATTAGGGAAGCTGATGACAATAAAATTTCTTCACACAGAATTCTTGCATACTTGTATTTTCTGATGCTTTCAACAGTATTATTACTAGAAGACAAGTTCTATCATGTCATTTAATCAGAAGGCTAGACCACTATAATTGTATTTACACTGACTTGTCCTTGTTTATTGTTCAGATATTCAATTTGTGTAAAAGATAATGGTGTGCCTTATTACGGTGAATCAGAAGGAGTGAAATATATCAGTACTCATGTACTAGTCACGTGCAGTTTCTTGGATACAATTTCAGGGGCTAGTGTTTACCTAGAAAACTGTTCATGGATGGACTTCTATATATCTGAGAAGATAGCCTTTTATTTCCACTGTATTACCATAACTGTTGGGACCTCCTGACATCACCTGTACTGGACTAGAAATGGTCATCCACTTTTTCTGGGATGTCATATCTGGAGCTTAGTGGGAGTTATGAATGGAGAAAGAAACCACATGCCATGTCTTGTACTTACAAACGTATTGTTCTACAAGTAGCTTCTCTTACCAAGGTGATAACATGCTGACCTGGTCACAGGAACCTATGGCACTTGACGTGTAACAGAATTCAACTCTCAGCACAAGGAGACTAGGCTATAGAGACATTTGTCTTTATAAACTGCTGGAGTTTGATACGATTTAAGCATATTTATTCATTAAAGCAGATAAATGATGGAGAAGCAAAAGAGCAATTGGATTTTTTAACATGCACAGATGTTACATGAATCATCTTTGAGAAGCAATATATCAGTTGAATAAACCAGTTACATTTGCTTTGGAGACATCCGTAAATGGAAAAAATTTTTTTTGGGGGGGGGAATGGATATTTTCAGAAATTTTACATCTCTTGTTTGTTTGTCAGTGATTTACTATAATACATGACCCCAGCAACTGTGTATGAATATATTTTGCAGGATACAAGATTGGTTTCTACATTTGCTTTAAAAAAAAATCAGGATTTACATGCTTTTTATACTTTTTCCCCAGTTGTCTGAATGCATGCACCTACTGCAAAACTAAGCATGCCAGAGGAGATTTGGCAAGTTATGCTATTGAAGAACTGGTAAACAGAGCCAGACAATCCTTTCAAGGTAGGGTTTTTAAAATTATTTTTCTGTTTTCTAAAATCTGCAAATTGGATTTATATCCATCAGAATCTATCACTGTGGTGAAAGTTGACTGTCAATAGACATGAATGTATACTGATACGTTTACAATATACACCAGTATTTATTAAGACATTGCTATTTATGGATTGTTCAGAATCAGTGTTGCCCTTTTTTCAACTTTGGTTTTTTTTCCCCCATAAGTTTCTTCTTTGTAACTTGATAAAATGAAAATGGAAGGCTGGAAAACAATGAGTACTCATTACAAACACATTCTTTATTTTCAGCAGTTTCATCTATTATATCTTCCCATCTAGTCATCCCTGGGTTTGTTTTGTTTTGTTTTTTAATGTCAGGGAGAGGGACTTCTTTTAGTCCTATCACCCTCATAAGCAAGTTTGGTGAGGACTCTTGAGAGTATATTTTCATCTGCTGCTCCCAGGTTGTGCAATTCCTCCCCAAGCCAAAGTAGATTGCTCCCACCCTGTTGTTCTTCTGCCAGCAGACCAAATAGTTCCTTTCCAGACAAACCTCTGGTATATTGATTAAGCAAAACTTAGCAAAATTTTGTTACAGACTTGAAGTGCAAACCTCTACTGCTTTATCATTTGATTTGCCTGACGCTAGTCCATCAAGGACATTGGAAGAACCAAGTTAATGGCAGCTGGACCAGCAGTTAAGCTTCAGTCAACCTAGTTTTGCTGCAGCTTTAAAGTGGAGGGTTGGAGGGTTGAGAGACTAAGAAGGAGTTTCTGTCGGAAAACAAACTACATTCTGTTGCAGTTTCTCAACTAAAATGAAAACTAGAATTATATGAATTCAAATGTTGTACATGAACTTATAAGTTTTTATCACAGAGTTGCACTTCTCCATGTGCCTTTTACCTAAACATATTTAGAATCTGAAAGTTTTCTGGGTGGGGAGAGATCTGGAAATGTTTTAAGTCATAATTCAGTGGCCAAGATCATGCTTTGTAGCTGCAGTGGTGCTACTTTGATTTCAGGTCCTGTGCAACTTGGGTTCATTGTGGGCAGCTACCTTCAGCCCAACGTTGAAACAGGGACTCTCTAGTGGCAGTCTGCCACTGCCAGTGATGTCATTCCTGCTATGCCAGCATAGCTATGGTACAGGATACAGGCCAATGTACCATTGTACTGAAATGCACAATTTGGTCTCATAGACCACTCAGGTGGGTCAGAGCAGCAATGCTTCCTGTGTACGCTTTCCTGAGAATAAACCCCACTGAACAGAATCAGAGTAAGAACACACGGGACATTGCTTGTAAATGCACTGGTAAAGCTGTATAGAATAAGTGACCATCCCGAGTACTGGGAATGTGTAATTTCAAAGCTGGCTCAGTTCATACAGATTCAGCCGCAGGTCATTTGATGTGTGGATTTTGTGACTTTCTCCAAAATAAGGGATATACAAAGTTTTTCTTCCAATAAAGTTTGTATAATGAGAATTTCCTGGTGATAATATATGGTTTGTTATAGCTAAGCCTTTATCTTTTTGATTTGAAATACTGCCTTTTTATTCTTTAGCATTGTTTAAAGTTTGTTTGGGTTTCTTTCTCTTTTTTGGTGACTGTATAGCACTCCCTTCAGTTTGAGACTTAATTGTATATGTGCATTTTTTTTCTTAAACTGGCTCAGCATTAAACAATCTGTATCATGGTATTGTTTCACTGTCTTTTGTTGAGTTGCTTAAGACTTTAAGTGGCATGTTGTTAGGCATAATGGAAGGAATGTCAACAAAAAGGGTGTCTTTTTGTTCTCGGCAATGTAAGTATTTATTTTTATTATTATTATTTTTCGTGTAGTATTAGCTGAAACTCTTGTAGTGGTTACATGTAATAAATAAATGTGGTTCTACTTTCATCATTCATTGAGAATAGGATTGACACATGTAGTCTGTAATGGGGTGACTACTTGATAATTTAAATAGATGCTGCTCTGCCTAAGAAGTCATTTTATATTCCAAACCTTTTGGGAAAAATTCACATTCAGGATGGCTTGCAACATTTAAAAGCTGGCTGGATATCTCCATGGTTTAGGTATCTGGCTGCAGAGCGAAAATTGTTGCAGTTGCAAATGTTTTGCTACTCACATGTTCATTTCTTTTGTTTTCATTGGAACAACACGAAGAAACAGTGAAGAAAAGTCAAATCTGATACAGTTCCACATAGAAACCCCAAAATGCACTGGCCAAAATTATTGGTACCCTGTCTAAATTGTAAGAAATAATTGCTTTTCAAGCATGTGATGATCCTTTAATTTGTATTTAGACACACCTGTCGCAAGTAAGAGTTGTGGGCAATATAGTAATCACACTTGCAACCAGTTAAGATGGAGAAAAGTTGACTCAGCCTTTATGTTGTGTGTGACACTGAACATGGAGAAGAGAATGAAGTGTAAAGAGTTGTCTGTGGATTTGGGAGAAAAAATTGTGGAAAAACATTGACAATCTCAAGGCTACAAGTCCATCTCCAGAGATCTTAATGTTCCTGTGTCCACTGTGCGCAATATCATCAAGAGGTTTCAAGCCCATGGCACTGTAGCTAACCTCCCTGGCCGTGGACAGAAGAACAAAATTACTGAAAAATTACAATGAAGTGTTGTTTGAATAGTGGATACAGAACCCAGATTAACTTCCCTACAAGTTCAAGCAGATCTGCAGACACAGGGTACAACAGTGTCAGCTTGCACTATCCGTCGCCATCTGAATTAAAAGGCATGCTATGGTAGGAGACCCAGGAGGACACCACTGCTGACACAAAGGCATAAAAAAGCAAGACTGAAGTATGGCAAAACATACGTGACAAAACCACAATCCTTCTGGGAGAACGTACTGTGGACAGATGAGACAAAAGTAGAGCTTTTTGGTCAAGGACATGATGGCACTGTTTACAGAAAAAGAAATGAGGCATTCAAAGAAGATAACACAGTCCTACAGTCAAACGTGGAGGTTCAAAGATGTTTTGGGGTTGCTTTGCTGCTTCTGGCACTGGATGCCTTGACTGTGTGAACGGTATCATGAAATCTGATGATTACCAAAGAATTTTGGGGTGCAACGTAGTGGCCAGTGTCAGAAAGCTGTGTCTCCACCAGAGGTCATAGGTCTTCCAGCAGGATGATGACAAGAAACACACTTCAAAAAACACTCAGAAATGGTTAGAAACAAAGCACTGGAGAGACCTTAAATGGCCAGCAATGAGTCCAGATCTGAATCCCACAGAACACCTGTAGAGAGATCTCCAAACAGCATTTAGGAGAAAGCATCCTTCAAATCTGAAGGCCTTGGAGCAGTTTGCAAAAGAAGAGTGGTCCAAAATTCCAGTAGAGAAGTGTATGAAACTAATTCAGGAAGCGATTGGTTACAGGAAGCGATTGATTTCAGTTATCTTTTCCAAAGGGGGTTCCAACAAAATATTAAGTTAAGTCTGCCAATAATTTCGGCCAGTGCATTTTTGGGTTTCTGTGTGGGACTGTATCAGATTTGACTTCTTTGTGTGTGTGTGTGTGTGTGTGTGTGTGTGTGTGTGTGTGTGTGTGTGTGTGTGTGTGTGTGTGTGTGTGTGTGTGTGTGTGTGTGTGTGTGTGTGTGTGTGTGTGTGTGTGTTTTCTGAGAGAAGGGTTGCATTTTCTGACAGAATTGCAAGGGTGCCAACATTTTAGGCCATGACTGTACATACATACTGTGACATTCCACCCAGTGTTCCCGGTTTGTTTCCCCCAAACCAAGGTTCACTCTCTGGATACGTTTCATCTTTCTTCCTCTGCCACCACGGTGAATATCTCTCACCCACACTGAACCTTATATGCATCAGACACGTGCTGCCAATATAATTTGTTTATTTTTCTTTTGGTATTTAAATCACAGATGTTCTTTTATCATTCTGTAGGATCACTTATTAAAACTTCTTGTATTTGATTACACGTTTGTTTATTCAGGTCTTGTATTTACTTATTCACATTAACCAACTCATTAATAATATCTGACCATCTCTTTATCTTGACTATTCAATTTATCTCCTTCACAACTCTCCTTCTCATTCTCTCTCCACTCTCCAACTCTTCTATTCTCTTCTCTAACTCCCCATCAACTCCTCTCTCTTTTTTTCTCTAGCTGTCCTCCCTCTTTCTGTCTCATTGACTCCACCCCTCCTGTCTTCTCATATGCTCCTGCACTTGAGCTTCAGCTATGATAGGCAGGAGTGACATGGGCATTTCACCACACATACATACATACATACATACATACATACATACATACATACATACATACATACATACATACATACATACATACATACATACATACATACATACATACA